CAATTCTTTTGAGAAATTATAAATGATCTTACTTTTCTACTTATCCACATGTGGCTTTGTTAATGCTTGTTTATTTTCAGCTGTTATTATAAGAATAATTATTATTGATTCTGGGGTTTGAGCTAGCTAAGCAATGCTCTTCTACTTGAGCCACATCCCCAGCTTCAAGTTAGTTTTAGTAGCCATTATAGTTGGTATGAACTGGTACCTCACGTGATTTTGATTTGATTTGATAACCCTTACTTTTGAGTTCATGTTACTGTTTTGAATATGAGTGGAAAAATGGAGGAAAAAGAAAACCTTGGTTTTGATGAGCTTCTTATAAAATTATATTTTGAAGAAATAAAGGTCTTACAATTAAATGAGGTTCCAAATCTGAGGATTATTAAGCCATTATTTCTATTCAGGTATTTCATTGATTTTTTTATGTTGAAGCTGATATCTTTTTAAAAAATTTTATTTTATTGTAAAGATGCTGTACAGAGTAACGAGTACATCTCTTCTCAATAATTGTTACTCTCTACTTTGTTGTTCTCCCACTATTCCTTCCACCCCCTTCCCCCATTTCATTGATTTTATGACTGAGACCTATTCCCGTTTCTCCATCACCTGGTTGGATTATAGCTGTAATTTGTGCCCTTTAAAACAGTGGCCCCAGGGGCCAGCAGCATCAGCAGGGCCTGGGAACTTGTTAAAAATGAAAAATCTCAGGTTTCATCCCAGATATGAGAATTTTTTTTGGGTGGTAGCTTCAGCGATCTGGGTTTTAATAAGCTTTTAAAGTAAGTTGGATACACACTTGAGTTTGAAAAACACTGGTCTCACCCAGCATTTTCAGGTTGATTTGTTGAAAAACCCTGGGTTGGGGGGGGGGTTGGGGTGGCTTTGCTAACATCAAATTTTTTTAACTTAAATAGGCAGAAAATATAACAACTTGGAATCATTTTAATAGCTTCCTATTTAAGAAAAATCTATGTATCCTATCCTTTTACTTAGAAATTGCTGTTCAGACTAAATCATGTAAAAAATAATTTTTTCAAAAAAAGTTACTTTGTATCTTTGGTCAAGTATTTAAAGAATTTCAGAGTTGCATGTCATTTGAGATATGCTTTTCCTTTTATGATTTTTCTTGTTTACTTCCTCTGAGTATCCATGTGAAGGTTATAATGTGAAGCCCTGGGAGCTGGACATATACCCACTACTGCCTTTAGTATTAACATTGACTAGAGATACATGTTTATTTGTCTACATGTATATTTGACTACAAATAGTATTTTTTTCTCCTATTATGGGCTCTTCAATTACAGATAATTACATTTACTTTGCAAAACTTTATGAGGATTTAGGTAATAAGTTTATATCTGTTAAAGCATGCCTGGTATATGATAAGCACTTGGTAAAATGTTTCATAATATTAGAGTAATGACCATATATAAAAACGGACTTTTTTTGGACATAGAATATTGAAAAGTAGTCTATCTGAGTTCCCAAACCAACAGCATAAACAATGTGTTCTTCCAAAGGTGGTGAGTCCCTCTCACATCTTGGCTTTCAAGAGTATATTCATGAATTAACCTCAGATTTAGGTGTTGGATGGCAGAAGAGAGTTGTTTTGTTTTTGTTTTGGTTGGTAATGGGGGTTGAACACAGGCTGGGGCACTGTCCCTGAGCTCTTTTGTGCAAGGCTAATGCTCTACCATTTTGAGCGAGAGCTTCACTTCTGGTTGGTTAATTGGAGATAAGGGTCTCCTGGACTTTCCTGCGTGGTCTGGCTTTGAATCGCAATCCTCAGATCTCAGCCTCCTGAGTTGCTGAGATTACTATGAGCCACCAATGCCCAGCTAGGAGGGTTTTTTTTGGCAAGCCTCCTAAGATGCTCCAGATTGCAAACCTCCTGGCCAGAAGGAGCAAGTGGTTAGGAAGTAAATGTCCAAAGTAGGGCAGAGTGATAGTGGAAAGGGTTTCTTACCTCCTCACCCCTTCAGTTCCTTCCCTTACTCCTGCCCCTTCCCCTTCTCTTCCTCCCCCTCCCCCAAGAATAGAAGGCTATTGTAAGGTCCTTCCTGGATGGCAGCAGACTCCACCCTCCTCGCAGCAAAGTCTCCACCTAGTACCTGCATTACCTAGGCAGCTGGCACACCTGGAAGAGGTCACATCTGAATTTGATGTGGCCACACCTTTCTCCGCCCATACCCTAGATAAGGCCTAGCCCAGGCCCAGACTCCCTCTTTTCCCAGCTCTCTCTCTTTCCCAGGTCTCTTAGGTCTTTCCCAGGCCTTTCCCAACCGCGTGGAGGGCCAAGATGGCCTGGTGCCAGCCAGAACGATGAATAAACCTACCCCTTACCTGAATACCACGTGTGTGGTGCTGTTCTTATTCGGCTACCTCTTTTTAAAAACCTAACAGCTATGAATATATTCATAAGCTGAGGGTGAAAAAAAGTGAAGTAGTGTATAACAGTAGTGTTTCCTATTACCAGGATAGCAGGATTTTTGTTAGGCATCCTTGATTTTGTTTGTTAGGTATCTGAGCTTGTTGGTCTGTTAATAATTTATTTACTCAATAAGAATTCATAAATATGTATTTAATACTGTTACTTGTTGATAGGGTACAGAAGAAATTATGCTATCCAGACCCAGAAAATAAAGCATTAAAATTCACTTTTGAAGCAAAGCTGCAAAGAAATTTTTACATTAAAAATTCCAAGAATGAGAACATTTGAGTTATTTACTGTGTTCATAATTACATTTATACTTACAAATGTAGTTTTTCTTTCTTTCTTTCTTTTGTCTTTTCTTTTTCAGTACCGAGGATTGAACCAGGACAATTCCACTTGCTAGGCAAGTGCTTTGCCACTGAGCTACATCCAAGTCCTAGTTTTTTTTCTTTTAACAATGACAAATGCTTATTATCTATTGTTCAATTCATAGGCAAAACCAAATTATTTTCAAATATAATAAAGTTGTCATAACTTAAAATCATAACATGTATCTGAAGCTTATAGAACTTCCAGGAATTAAAAAATGATCTTTAAACAAAAATCAATCTCAATCTCAGGCTTTCAGCAAGTTAAATTGGTGCCAGGTAAAACTTAGGTAGAATCTCTTTTATTGTTTAAATATACTTTTTTCATCTCTTCATCTGTAATATTTCTTTAGGCTGTGAATGCTTTTTTGCAGCTTTGATATATGGAGTGAGGGAAAGAGAATCCTCAAACAGAATCTTGTGCAGGGACACCTACCCAGTTAAGAGGTTCACAGTGTGCCCATGGCAGAGCTGGTAGCCTCATTATAGCATGTTTGCTAAACTGGTTTGGGAGGTCTGTGTTCTCATCGTTACCTCCGGGAGAGTTCATGCTACAGGAGGTCTGGTAGAAAAGGGAACTAGCCCTTCCTTTAGTCCATGGTTTTATAGTATCCTTAAATCGCTGTTAGAGGCCAGGAATTCTGGGAATTCTTTTCATGTTAAGTTTTCCCAGCATTCATCAGGGTAGATGACACACTTTGTTATTCTGATGAGTGGAAATGACCATATTTCACATGAAAGCTGTGTGATCTTTAGTATTCATTAGTATGGACAAAAGGGATTTCATAAGATCTCATATATAAGAGCTGGTTCTGTGAAATCATACAAAGTCAGAAGCGATGTTGACTGATGTGGACACCCTACAAGACACAGTTAATCTATAATGTTAACCTACCGTAGTTGCTCCAACAAAAGCAAAAATGAATGGTATGAGGGAAGAAGTCAATCTAGTTAAGTCTGAGGGCCTGTACTCTGCTTAGGAAGCCATGTAATTCACCATTAATTTGAAAAAAAGTATTAAAATGGAATTAGTCTTAAAGAGGAAGTATTCTTGAGAGAAAATATAAGGCAATCTGAAGAGATGGGATCGTTAAATGAATACTTCATGTGTTTGATCCCATTAAAAACTGTGTTGAGCCAGAGCCCTGTGGCTCACACCTGTAACTTAGCTACTCAAGAGATCAGAGGAAGCTAGCTTAGGTAGGAAAGTCCATGAGACTCTTATTTCCAGTTAACCACCAAAAGCCAGAAGTGGAGCAGTGGCTTAAGTCCTAGAGTACCAGCCTTGAGTGAAAAAGTTAAAGGATAGCTCTCAGGCCCTGATTTCAAGTCCATTCCTCCCCCCTGACCCCCCAATTTCAAGCCCCAACACACACACACACACACACACACAGTTGTGTTCAAGTGACTGTTACTATAAGATATTAACAAAATTTTTTGTGGGGCTGGGAAGGTGGCTCAGTGGTAGAGTGCTTGCCTTGCATGCATGAGGCCCTGGGTTCAATTCCTCAGCACTACATAAGCAGAAAAAGCTGGAAGTGGCACTGTGGCTCAAGAGTTAGAGTGCCAGCCTTGAGCTGAAGGGCCCATGACCGACCCCCCTCCCCACAAAAAAATATATTTTGTATATATACTTTTATTTTAAAGATACTGTACAGAGGGGTTACAGTTATATAAGTAAGGTAATGAGTACATTTCCTATTGAGCATTGTTACTTCCTCCTTTGTTTTGATAATTACACATTTTAACACATTTGTCCTTTCTCTCAAAGGAGAGGTTAGTTAATTTGTGGCAGAGGTACTGGTATCAGTTCCATGATGCTAGTATTTCAATCCTGGGATGAATTTTTATTTTGTGGGAAATTTATTTAGCTTCCAAGTTAGAGCCAGACTCCAGGTTTCCTCACTCTCATCTTGGGGTTCTATTTATTGTAGAGACTCACAGTCCCAGTTTTAAGCAGTAAACTCTCATGATGACACATGATGACACACTTCTTTTTTTGTATATTTATTTCTGAAGTTAATCCTTTATCTTTTCTTTAATATTTCAGTACAATAATGCATTCTCTGGAAACAATCAAGAACAGAAAGGAAATATGAAAACAGAACAAAATACAATTTTAGTACACTAAAATTGCATTTAGATACTAAATTTGAATGTATGTGGTTTAGTGTCTTTCTTGTGGTTTGTTTTAGGTTAACGAAGCCCTTGTCATTTGCTGATTGTGTTGGGGATGAGCTACCATGGGGATGGGAAGCAGGCTTTGACCCCCAGATTGGTGTCTACTACATCGATCACATCAACAGTAAGTTTTTCCTTTGGGGCAAAAACAAATGTATTTTTAAAAATCTCCAAAAATCTATACTCACGTAAGCGATAATATTTTACAAAGTGAATTTCCTTATTTGAATAACTAATACATGGCTGAAATGTCCATTTGGCTATTTGGGAATGTATGAGGAGTTGTGGGGTAAAGAGGGAAGAGAGGATGTCTGTTCTGACTGTCTGTCTGCCAATTGGGCAGAGAATGAATGTTCTACTCTAATGCAGGTCTAGGGGCCTATGCAGACCCACAGCCATTAGGTTTTTCTTCCTATGACCTTTGCACCTTTAGACCAGAGAACCACTTGTACTTACCCCCAAAACTTTGTGCTCAGGTAACCAGCTCGTGTGGTTTGGGTATCTGGAGGGGTTTTTACTCACCAGTGACTCTGAAGGACAGCATGGGCTTGGAAAAGACCAAAACCCTTTTCTTCTTTTTTATTTTCTGATCTTTTCTGGCTTGAAAGCTGAAAAGCTTGGTTTTTTAATCTGTCCTAGTAAGGCTAGAACAGAGAATTAGAATTGTTCCTGTCCATGATTAATGTTTAAAAACAACATACTTGAAGTTTAAAAGTATAGACTGTGTGTGTGTGTGTGTGTGTGTGTTTGTGTGTTTACATGAATGTCTATTTCTCATCAGGCCCTTTAAAATTTATTGAGATTACAGTTTAATAATTTTACTTTTATAGATTTTAGTTAATGCATAATAAATTTATTTCTTGTTATCCTATTTGGTTCTATTTTTTCATCAAAAATTAGACCAATAATATTCTTCAATATCTTTAGGGAGTATTTATAGAAGTATTTTATACTTATTTATGTACTTATCACAATTTACTCAACATTTTGTCATACTCGTTTATATTTATTTAATACTTCATTAGTGATGGCTGTCCTTGTTTAGGTATATGATAGATTTTTGGAGAGGCCTTAAAAAAAGCAAAATTGCTGGGCACCAGTGGCTCACACCGTACTCCTAGCTACTTAGGAGGCTGAGAAATGAGGATTGCAGTTCAAAGCCAGCTATAGCAGGAAAGTCCATGAGATTCATCTCCAATAAACTACCAAAAGGCTGGGAGTAAGAGCTGTGGCTAGAGTGCTAGCCTTGAATACAAAAGCTTAGGGACAGCATCCAGACCCTGAGTTCAGGCCCCAGAACTGGGGCTTTCTTTCAGATGAGTGGAGGTAGGGTGGAAAGGAGAAGCACTCTGAGGCACTTGGTCAGTTTTTCAAAGCACACATATAGTCAGTAGTGTTGTAGAGAATGTAGGTAGTTGTATAACGTTTGCAACCAGCTTTCTTTCATGCATCTAGTAGTTCAACATAAAAATAACCATTTCTGAAAGCTGTTGCTTCAGTCATTCTCATATATATATATGACTCCTGCACCTTTAGACCAGAGAACCACTTGTACTTACCCACAAAATTTTGGGCTCAGGCAACCAGCTGGTGTGGTTTAGGTATCTGGAGAGAGATTTTTACTCATCAGTGACTCTGAAGGACAGCACAGGCTGCCCAAAATCCCTTTCTTCTTTTTTGTTTTCTGATCTCTTCTGGCTTGAAAGATGAAAAGCTTGGTTTTTAATCTGTTATAGTAAGGCTAGAGCAGAGAATATAAATAGTTATTGGTGGTTGTGGGTCTTAAACTCTGGGCCTGGGCACTGTGCCTGAGCTCCTCAGCTCAAGGCTAGCATTCTACCACTTGAGCCATAGTGCTACTTCCAGTTCTCTGGTGGTTAATTGAAGATAACAGTCTCAGGGACTTTCCTGCCTGTGCTGGCTTTGAACTGTGATCCTCAGATCTCAGCCTCCTGAGTAGCTAGGATTATAAGCGTGAGCCAGTGGCATCTGGCTACATATGATTTTTAAATGACTTTTCTGCAAAGATTTTATTCTCCCTGAAAAAAAGTAAAACTTTCATGAAGTTTTTTTTTTTTTTTTGGCCAGTCCTGGGGTTTAAACTCAGAGTCTGGCCACTGTCCCTGAACTTCTTTTGCCCAAGGCTAGAACTCTACCACTTGAGCCACAGCACCACTCCCAGAATTTTTGTTTATGTGGTACTGAGGAATTGAACCTAGGGCTTCATGAATGCTAGGTAAGCATTCTACCACTAAGCCACCTTCCCAGCCTCATGAAGAATTCTTAATTGTGTGTGTTTGCATGTGTGCACACATGTGTGTGTGGGGGGGAAGGTTAGTGTTGAGAACAGTGCCTTGCACAACCACTTAGCTTTCAATTTTGGGTTTTTGCAATAAACCTTTCTAGTTACTATATTACTGTGTAATATGTTACTGTATTTTTCTTTTATACTCTTTTATACTTTTGATAGATAAAATTTACTTTTTCTTCAAGTATTATTTAGGAAACCAAAAAGCCAATTTAGTTTTCTGGTTTAACAGAAACAAACTGTAGTGGCATATGAGTTCCCTCAGGTTCTATGTCTACCTGCAAGGCTCTCTCTCCCCTCCCCTTCCTTTGCCCCCTCTCCCCCTCCCCTTCCCCCCTCACCCCTCTTCCCTTTTCCCTCTCTCTCCTTTTTCCCCTTCCCCCTCCTTCATCCCCCCTGTCTCTGTCTCTCTCTGTCTGTCTCTGTCTCTGCCTGTCTGTCTCTCTCTCTCATCTTGGGGCTTAAACTCAGGGCCTGAGTGCTGTCTCTGAACTTTCTCCTCAAGGCTTAGTACTGTACCACTTGGAGCCACAGTGCCACTCCCAATCTTCTGATGGTTAATTGAAGACAGGAGTCTTATGGACTTTCCTGCCTAGGCTGGCTTTAGCTTTGAACTGAGATCTGAGGATTGAGATCTAAATCTGAGTAGCTAGGATTGTAGGCATGAGCCATGGTCACCTAGCTTTCTTCTTTCTTAATGGAAAAGGAATTCTGCATTTCCTACTCTACCCTGAGCATACCTTAATCCTTTTTAAAAAATACCTATCACATCATCTCTTGTCTTTACCAGCTATTTCTGGATTTCAAGTTTTTCGCTCACTGTTTCTAATGACTCTTTTGTTTTAATATAGAAACAGTAGAAGCTGAGTGCTTGGTGGTTTCCTCTGTAATCCTAGCTACTCAGGAGGCTAAGCTCTGAGCATCTCTGTTGGAAGTTCATTCAAAGCCATACCAGGCAGGAAAATCTGTAAGACTTGTATCTCGATTAACCACTAGAAAACCAAAGTGGTGCTGTGGCTCAAAGTGGTAGAGCACTGGCTTTGAGCAAAAAGAGCCCAGGGACTGGGGCCCAGGCCCAATAACCCCGGGGGAGGGGGGAAGGGAGAATGTGGAGAAGGAAACATAAGAAATTCTCAAAATGAAACTAAATCAAACCTACAAAAGAATAAAAAGCTTCATTAAATGTGTTCCCACCTCCTTAAAATCATATGTCAACCCACATGTCTTGTCCGTTCTCTGTTCTTCACAGCCAAACTTACTGAAAACTAAAGTCCATTTGAACTTCTCTTCCTCCATTATTCCTGACTACCTGATTCTCCTGCTCAAGTTTCTCCAACCTGTCCCTGCTATGAGAATTTCTGTAATCTTCCATTTGTATCCTGCAGGTCTTCTTGGGTAATAACTTTAGTTCTTTCCTTCAGGCTATTGGCTCCTTGAACTCTTTTCCAGAGTTCCAGATGCATATGTTTCGTTCCTTACTGTCAGATTCTGTTCGTTCCCACTGGCCTCTGCATTTTCCTCTCCTGCTTCACCCTAGTACTGGAGGATCCCATGGCAGCACCTTGTGCTTCCTTGACTTTCTGTCTTTGTTTGTATCTCTTGGCCCAGCCCCAGAACTCTGTGCTGAAGCCCCAGGCCTTCCTCTTTGACTAACTGCCACATCCTTCTACGGTGTTTCTGTTCAGGTACTACTGCTTCCCGAAGATCTTCTCTAACACCCACCACTCCAGTTCTCCATCCCAACTCAGGTTTAGGTGCCCCGTCTTCTAGAATACCACGTATACAATATTTTCAAACATCAATCATTATGTTGCATTTAGATTTATTTGCATGTTTTCCTTACTAAATTGTGATCTTCTTTATATCTTTATCCTTGGTGAAATGTTAAAAGTAAGAGCTTCGTTTAACTCAGAGAATAATATATATTCACATATATTAATACATATAATATGTAATAAATAAATACCTATATAAATATAAATATATTTCTATATATTATATAGACTTATGTGTATGCGTATATATGTATGTGTTTACATGAATGTCTATTTCTCATCAGGCCCTTTAAAATTTATTCAGATTACACTTTTAAAAAAGTTACTGTAACTCACGTTCACATCACTTAAGTATATTAATCTTAAGTAGATATATTTATATATGTATTTATTACTAGAACTAGGATCTGGGTACTGTCCCTTAGCTTTTTCACTCAAGGATAGTCTTCTACCACTTGAACCACAGCTCTGCTTCCAGCTTTTTTGCTGGTTAATTGGACATAAAAGTGTCATGAACTTTCCCTACCCTGGCTGGCTACAAACGATGATTCTCAGATCAGCCTCCTGAGGAGCTAGAATTATAGACATGAACTGCTGGTGCCCAAAAGGAATTAGAAGTATATTTCAGGGATAAACTGTGCTTAAGAAAGTGCCATTTTTGATTATCAGAATATAAAATATTAAGTCCACTATTTTGCTTTAGTGTAACAATTTTTTAACCTAGTAGCCTGATGGATTTATTCAACCCTCAAGTACCCAAATTACCTGCAGCAAATAGTTTAGTTACTGAGAAGGATCTGGCCCATTATCTCATTAATCTTCAAGACATTCCTGCAAAGTAGTTTGGAGAGCAAATGGTATTATCTTTTCATCACAGCTGGTCCACACATATGTTGTGTTTTGACATTGTATAGTTTCAGCATTATTTTCTCTTTATTTAGATAAAAAATGAGATAAGGAATGTTTGGCTAGTTAATACTGTTTCTGTGAAACACTCTTAAATATTAGAAGTAAAAGATTTGACCTTCACAGTGGTGTTTC